ATTATAAATGGGGACGTCCTCGAGTGGCACCCTCCTGTGATAAAGGTTCCCACCGTTCCCCTAAAACGAATTGCGGCAAGAGCGTGCATATTTATATGTGTGTTTATCTGCATGTGGGTGTGTCCCTATGGGGGGCACAAACAGAAAATGCGCGTAAGAAGAGAATCCCCATACCTGTTACTGCTCTACGCAACGTCACATTTGTCTGACCCCACCACATCATTGTTGTTCCCCTGGTACACAATCGACAGGTGGCTGAACCTAAACTGGGATGAAGGTCCAGACGTGGGAGGGCCATACGGACCATACAAGCAGTCCGAAAAAATTGAGCTTTACAAGTACGCACCGAAAAAAAAAAAAAAAAAAAATGGCAGTCTTATCGTCACCCTTATAAGTAGATAACCCAAATGTGTTATTATACAAAAGTGTGTGCTGTTCCCTTTAAGCATAAAAGTATCATTGTCGTCACACCACCCTGTTGCGCATATAAATTTCCCCTTTCAGAGCAATAGCCCATGAGTTTGTAAAAGAGGGAAAGGCCTACTTCTGCTTCTGCACGAAGGATGAGTTATCGGCAAAGAAAGAGAAGGTACGACCACGGGTGCAGTGATGATGGTGCTGCACATTCGCCAAGTGACCACCATGAGAAGAAGCACATTCGCAACGCACATTAGTGTGGCAGAACGATCACTTTGCAGCACGACCACGTGAGCGCACAAATGGCACACCTTCCCTGCCACCCTCCTCTACAGACCATGCTGGCAAGGACGAAATACACGTATGACCGCACATGCAGGGACTTGACCGATGAGATCGTTAAGCAACATTTATCGCACAAGAAGCCATACACTATACGGTTCAGATCACCCATGGGTAGAAACATTACACTAGATGATATGCTAAAAAATGAAATTGTTGATTCGGTGAATGAGGATTTTATTATTCTTAGAAGTGACTCCTCCCCTACGTATAACTTTTCAGTGTCCGTGGATGATCACCTGATGCGGATATCCCACGTGATACGTGGGGTGGAGCATATTTCAAACACATTCAAGTAAGAAGCAGCGCGCATGCAGAAAATTAGGACTATACAAAGGGGGTGGTTTGCAGCTAACGGCAGGGTTAGAACGAATTCCACCTCACACCCCAAGCGTGTAACCGTTTATGCCGTTTTCATGCCACTTCGCGCTGATGTTAGCGCATCGCTGGCGCTACCTCAAGGTTTATGAGGCACCGTGAAAAAAAATCACCGCATGCAAATGCATTTTATCACCCCGTAGGCAAATTTTGGTGCTGGAGGCTTTGGGTGCGCGCATCCCCCTCTACGCTCACGTCCCTGTCATAACGACCGTGCAGAAGAAGAAAATTAGCAAGCGCAATAATGAGTACCTAGTGCGGAACTTGAGGTACATGCACGTGCTGCATGCACATTTGTACGTGCTTTGCGTGCTCTGTTTCGTACCGGCTAGCCACTTTCACACGAATTAAAAAAAAAATATATATATTTTTCCTTGTTCACGCCAGGGAGGAGGGGTTTAAGCCCGAGTGTGTAATTAACTACATGGGGACCCTTGGATGGGGCAGCATTTCGAAGAGGTGAGTATCTGAACAGGAGGGGTAGATAGCGCGTGCGTACGATTGAGAAAGGGTGCATATATGTGTGCACATGCGAAGCTGCGTATGCGGCAGGGCACTGTAGGTCATTTTTATACCGCGTGTGCGCCATCCACCTGTCGCTTCCCTGCAGAGAGTTCTACACGTTGGACGAGCTGATCAGCACCTTCGACCTACGCGCGTTAAATAAATCTGCACTTGTGTTTGACATAAAGAAGCTGAAATGGATGAACAAAAAGTACTTGCTAACACAGGAAGCCGCAACATATGTTCGAGAAGCTGAACAATTTTTAATTGAGAAAAAGGTGCTAACACAGGCATGCACTGAATTTTTACGTTTATGCATTAGTGTGTTTAAGGATGATGTGCACAATTATGAAGAGCTAGGGAGGTACATTATGGAGGCAATTTCATATGACCACTTAGCTCATCCGTGCGACAAAAATAACGAAAAGCTAAAAAAGGTATCCACCTATTTATGTAATTGGTGGGAGGGAAATAAAAGTAGCGTACAATGTTTTGAAGATTTCTTTTCAGAAAATTTCGACTCACTGATAGGACTTGTAGCAGAAGGTACGAATATGCGAAGGAATGAAATTTTATTAAAAGTTCGTGTCCTTTTAACCTTCCAAAATAAGGGTGTTCCATTTGTGCATTTGTTACAGTTGTGGGCACTGGCGAGAAAAAGTAAGGTGCCAAATTATGTTCCGCTGGAGGACAGGATTCGCCACCTTAAGGAGGTATTCATTGGATGAATGAGTGCGCGGTGTGTATATTGCTCTTCTCTGCAATAAAAGCTCGTTCTTATTAATATTGTAGGATACCGTTTTGGGGAGTTCCCTTTTGAGGGGGTATATGCGTAGATCTCCCTTTGTAGAGAAGGTGGTGTACATTATCCTTCCCCATTCCTTTGCCTCAATTTTTGTACCGTTTCCGAGCTGCACAATGTAAAGGCAAGATGGATGCTGTGTATGCCATTACGCGTGGGGATTTTTGTGTGTAACGGGTGTCCACCCTTCCGTTGGCTTAGGTTCCCTTTTTACTAAAGTGGGGACAACATATCCCAGCGTGATAAAGTGCACGGCGCTAGGAAGTTTCCCCTTTTCCGTACATTTGAGATAATATTAATATGGTACTATCAGCTACATGTGTAAGTCTTTGTCCATTTTTTATTTATTTCTTTTTCTATCCTTTTTTCGATGTCTACTCTTTTAAGTTTTTGCTTTTTTTTTTTTTTTTTTTTAAAGTGGAGACATGATTAAGCTGAGCTTGCTTTTCGCCACACAGCGATAACATCTCCGTTCATTTATTGGCAAATTTTATTTGCACATTTGTGCGCACTTTTACGAATTCATTTTCTTTCCCTCTTTTAAATGGTTCAATCATTGGAACTGTGCAGAGGCTCTCCTTTATGCGCAACACGTGTGTAGGGACGTTTTTTTTCTGCGTCATTCTTCAATATTGACAGAGCTTCCTCGTTCGTTCCCCTACGTATTCTTTTGTATTAACTTTTGTTTCCCTTCCTCTTGTGGGAATCATTCTCTGCCCTGTTCGGTTAGGCTGCACTTTTGCCAATAATTCACTGCCGTTTTTCCGACAATACAAAATTTCCCAATTCGTCTGTTCCACCGCTGCTGTGTCTGCTACCCTCCGTCCCCCCATTGCTGCTCCATCCCCCTACCGCTCCGCTACTCCACTGCTCCACCGCTCCATCGCAGCCCAAAATGGAAGTAGCCGAGGTGAAGAAATACTCTTCCAAGTTTGACATAAAGGGGATTTGCATGACCAGCGAGAACTGTGAAAAGGTGTGCAGGATCTGCTTGAAGGCAATTCGGGAAAACAAGCTAGAGAAGGACATAGCTAGCCACATAAAAAACAAGTGTGAAAATGACGAGTTGTTAAATAAAGAAAACTCAGATGACCACACCAATTATCTGCACATGGAAGACAGTTTAAAAAAACAGAACATTGGATCCTGGCAGTGTATCGTCGGGAAGAATTTTGCCTTTTCTATAAACTACCAGTTTAACTGCATGCTCTACTTTGAGCACAAAATTTCAAAGTTGGCCATTTTGGTGTACAAATCGGTCTGATCACCGTCAGGTTTCTGGAACGTTCTCGTACATGTATAAATACGTGCATACACATGTTTTACGCCCATGTACATGCACGTGCAGGTGCCCTCTTTACACCCTTTCACCCCGTATGCTTCTTCGCGCGTAAGCCCAAGCACAAGCACATTTAACCAGATACAACCGACGCATGGGCTAACCACGTATGATCACCACATCCAGTTCGCCCCTGCTCAAATGGGGAACCGAAATGATTCTGAAGCATTGGGCATAAGTTCGGGTGCAGCAATGGATCAGCGAGTTTTCGGTGCCAAATTGAAACGAAGTGCACTTCCGCCTTTTTCCTTTAAAATGCAACGGGGCAAGGAACGCTAACGACGGGAGGGGTGGGGACCTGAAGTGAAGTCAAGTCAGTAACGCAAGTTAGTTTGGCAGTTACAATACCGATCAGCAGAATGAAGCAAAACTGAGCGACCAGTGCGCACATCAAAATAACATCTACGAAGAAGTGTCACATGAAGCGCACCTTGCCCTCTTACCCGCGCTGATTTTTCTTAAAAACACTTAACGACGCATATATATAAATTAACATTACTGCAGTGGTGCAGTTATAAATTTCCCGATGCGCGAAAGCTGCTGGCGATTGCGATTCCACTTGTGGCATCACTTCTAACCAGAACTGTTGCAGTGTTGTTCTCAGTGGACACGCACTCTAACCCTTTTTAGTGTACTTGCCAGATCGTTACACGGGGGAAGGGACAAGTATGTACACAAGGGATTGTGTGTATGCACGCGTATGTACACGTGAGTATGCCATATGGGTCGTACCAAAAACAGCTGTGTTTTTTTACACGGCCGTATGCAAAAAAGCGTTCGAGTGCATACAACTGTCCCAAGTCACTGCACCCCTTTTTAGCTCTTTATCGTTTCACAAATCTCGTGTTGCAATTATTCAGACAGCTCTCCTGCGCACCCAAATGCTGACCCCTCTTTTAAAAATGTGCACGTGGCAAAAATTGTGCCATTTGTGGGTGAAGAGTCAGGCTTGCTATTATTTTACTTTTTTTTTTTTTTTTTTTTTCCTTGCGTCTAGGTATTCTTTGTTTGATAAAAATATATTTTTTTAATTATGTTTGTATGCTCCTTTTAACTGTTCCACGAGCATTTTCCTCGCCATTTAAACGCGGCCGAAACGTTTACTATTTAAAATTCACACATAGGACTATCGAGGAGGGCAAAGAAAACGAAGTTAAACCGAGACACCACACATATATATATTATCATCACGAACGTTTATTCTTGGCTAGTTAAAGCATGACGACGAATCGTGTCAAATTGAAGCGCTTTTACAGCGAGCACAATGAAGACAATATGGATGCATTAAATGCCTCCACGGGGAAGGAAAAAAACGTGGAAGGGAAAAAAGCACTTCACAAAAAGGACGCGAAAAATTTCAGGAAAAATAAATTACTTGTCTTGTCCAAAGGATTGAACATAAAAGACGTAAATAAATTGAACGAGCATTCCCAGGCGGGGGAGGTGGCAGTAAGACGGAGGAGTCGCCTGAAAAAGGAAGTAATCACTGACAGTAGCTACGAGGAGGAACACGGAATAGACCAAGCATGTAACATAAGCGATGCAAGCTGCGCACAAGAACAAAATGAAGATTCTGATCGGTTTGCCTCTTACACAAAGACGAAATTGTCCTCCTTGTCCACAGTTGGGGACAATACACTTAATGTACACCCCTCGATAATTGGTACGAGGGGGAAATATGAACGGAGTAAAGTAATCGATAGCTCGGATGAGAGTAAACACAGCTGCGAGTTCAGCACCTCGGATGATGGAGGGTCGGGTGCAAAGGGGGAGAAGATGTCACAGAGGGGCATAGGAACTTCCAGCAGCCGCAGGGGTGGCAATGAGCTGGATGAGAGTGGTCTCAAGGAGAGGAAGCAGAAAGGGAGGGTGTTCAGCATATGCTCACAAAGGGGGATGCAGGACGCTGACGACGAGGATGAAATTGACGAAGAACAAGACGAAGACGAGGATTTTCACAGTGCACGGCGCCCCGCTGAGAAGTCGCGAAAGGGGGAAGCCCCAAACTGGGGAAGAAACAAAAGTATAAATATCCTGCACAAGGATGACAGCTCGGAGGAGGATGAACGCGACGAGAGTTCTGGCTCATCTAGTGAGGTATATGATGATATACAGAACGACAGGAGCTACGACGAAGCGAAGAATCAGCGAGACAGGAGGAAGCAAGCCCTGTCGGCACTCAACATGAGAAACAAGAGCGCCGCTTCGAAGAATGAAGAAAATGCAAATGAGGAAAACTCGTACGATAATTATGACGACTCCAGTTTTTATGTAGATGACGATGTGAACTCCGTGGCTGAGACGCACATATCGTATGAAAGCGGCAATGAAAAGCTCAACCACCTTGATGAGTATGCCTTACACTTAAAACTTTTTAATGAGCAAAATTTGGGTAATGATATGATTCAGTTCAATTCCATAAGTGTGAAGAAATCGATCAGACAGTACATTGAATTTACGGCTCTGTCTCTATTATCCCCTAGCTTAAAATATGACGCCAATTATTTCAAGGCGTCTGAGAATGTGAAAAGCGTCGAGCAGTCCCTGAAGGTAATGTACGCAAGTATTCACAAACAATTTGAGGAGAAGAATTCCATGGGGGAGTGCTACAATTACTATGATGAGGATGGTGCAGAAGGTGTGAGGAGAAAGAAGAAAAAAAGGAGAACAACAAAAAAAAAAAATCTGAAAAGGTTATCTCAACAGGTTAGTGATAGTGGTAGCGAAGGCTGTGCGGAGGAAAAGAAGGGTAATGAGGAGGGCGATGTGAGGAAGCCCCTGGACAGCAGCAAGAAGGTTAAGCGGGATAGCAAAAAAAAAAAATATGTCCTAAGTGACAGCAGCAGTTGTTCACCTGATGGGAAGGGGCTCAGTGACGCGAATGCAGAGAAGTGTGTGCATGGGGAGGAAGAGGACTGCTATGAAGTATACGACGAAGAGGAGGAACAAGACAGTGGCGAGGAGGAAGACGACGATGATGATGATGAAGAGGATGACGAAGAGCACGATGAGGCATGCGAGGACGAGTGCGAAGACTATTACGACGACTACGACTTCGAATACGGGCGGAAAGCGAAGAAGAAGGTGGCGGAGCAAATGAGCGACAGTGTCATGTACAAGCTGCTCAACAGAGACATGCTGAAAATATACGAGTTTGTAAAGAAGGAGGAGAACTTTAGCAATTACGATTTTTTGAAGATGATTTGCAAAATCAGTAAAAACAAACCGAGTAATTATTATGATCGTTGTGTGCAAAAGATCGAGAAGAAAATTCTGTCCAAAAGAGACCAGTTTGAATCTCATCCATTTGAAACAAATTTTAAAAATATTTTAAAAAATTACGCAAATATGTTTACACATTATTTGGACTACAACAAAATTCACTGCTGCTGTTGCAACAGAAAATTAAGTTACGCATGTCCTGTTTTTTTCATTAAACCCTTTTACAATTCCTCCGACTTATGGGAAAATAGCTTTTTTAATTTTATGAAGGTAAATCATTTTGAATGGCTCGGAAATGAACATTTCCTGACTTTTAAAAATCCGTTAGACAAATTAAGTATGAGAAATGAAGATGAATTCAAAATGAAAAATATTAAACAGTCGAACAAGCTATTTATAAAAAATCAAAATGAAAAGGAAAAAAAAAAAAATGCACACATGCACGTTAATATAAATCATGTGGATAATTATCGCGTTGGGAATAACGACGAATGCGTCGTGAACTACTTGAAGCAGAGTAAACAAGTGAATCTCTTTAAATATGATGCAAATTTTGATGAAAAACGATTGAAGAAAAAAAGGAAAGCCTTTAAATTTAATTTTGAGTATCAATTTAAGGTTACTGAGTGTAAGGACAATAATTTGAATATCCTCATGAAAGATATTTGCGACAATTTTTGTGACCTTTCCGAGAATTATATGGAGAAGGACATTCTGGTTTTGCAGCTTGGGTCGTATTGTGTTTCGGCTGTGTACTATTGGCATGTGTTTCATCACTACAAATTTTTTTTCACCAAATATATTTACTTGCGTCTACTCGATTTGTACAAGAAGAGCAAGGATTTGTTTCGCGAGCCGCTGCTCCTCGCTTACGTGTTGTCCAAGCGGCTGAACAAGGACCTGTACCGCGACTTTGTGATTCTCATGAACATTGACATTTCGCAGATTCAGAACAAGCTCCCTGAGTCCGACTTGCTCGTTCGCTGAGGTGGGTAACTCCACGTGAAAGCTTTCGCGACTGCACATTTTGAGGACTGATTACCCATTTTGAGAGTGTAACTGCGCTGGGGTGAAGGTTGCTTACAAGGATACCACGCTTGCTTTTCGCCAGCCACAAAACAAAAAGGGGATGCCACAACATACATGCGCACTACACACCCGAGTGCTTCTTATCCCCGCTGTGCAGCTCACACCGCACTATCGGGTGCGACTATTCCGAATTGACCTCCTTCAGCATGCCTCCACAGCGATGTAGCTCGCCCAGCATAAAAGTGGACCTCTTAAATTTCCCTCCAATTCGATTATGCATACAACGTACACCTACGTGCATGTCTTGATTTTTTTTTTTTTTTTTTTTTTTCCCTTGCAAGAGAAAAAAAAATGCATAAAGGAACTTCCC